TTCCCGGGCCCCCCCCGCCGCCGCCCTCGCCGCTGCCCCCGCCACCATCGTCCCTGTCAGTGTCCCACAGTCCCCGCCGTTCCCACCATTGCCCCGACTGCCCCCGCCACCGTCGCCCCCGCCGCCGTCGCACTGCCCCCGCTGCCCCCGCCGCGGCCCCCCCCCCACCGTTGCCGCCGCTGCCCCCATATTGCCCGCTATCCCCGCCACTACCCCTCCAAGAGGCGATTTTGGGTGCCCCTGGGGGGGGCGCAATCGGAGCTCCCATGTCGCGATCGATCTCCTCCACGACGGCCCCGAAAAATGTTTCGAGGCCCCCGAGAGCGCGTCGCGAGGGCCCCAGGGGCGCGCGGGCATCGGCGCGCAAAAGGTCTCCAAGAAGCCCCCAGGAGACCCCCAAGAGGCGCGCGAGACGCTCTGGGAGGCCCCCGGGGCCGCCTGGGGGCCTCCGGGACGTTCCAAGAGGCTTCCAGAAAGCCTCCAGCACATCCGAGGAGATTCTGAGAGGCAGCTCGCTCCGGCATCGATCCTGGATGGGCTGGCGGGGGTGCGCGAGGCGCCGTGAATATCAATTTCGATCGAATCGCTTTGGGGCGTCGACAGACCCGCCGCAAGTCCGCGCAGAGACGGCGGTTCTGTCGCCAGGAGAGCAGCAGCGACCACGCGGGTGCCAGAGACCGAAGGCCCCCGATAAACATTCAAACGTTGCGGGCCGCCAGAGGCCCCAGCCACTCGCGGCGACCGCGTTGCCGCGCAGAACACCGGAACTGCGGCGCGCGATCGCGCGAGGGCTGCTCGCGCAACGCAACCATGCGCCGCCGTGCCTGGCTAGGGGCACCCCGGGCCCGGAATGGCGCGCGCGCTCGCCTGGCCGAGGCCGGGGAGGTCGGCCCCGCGCGCGCCGCTCCGAGGCCCCTCGCGGCCCCAGCCAGGCATGGCGGCGCATAAGTGCGCATGGCTGCCTTCTGCGCGCGACTTCGCGAATGCAGGCACATCCCCACCGGAAACCCACGTTGGCGGGCGATCGGCCGGCTCCTGCGCGGCGGCAGGCGCGCCGCGCTAAGCGGCGGGCGCGTCGCGCGGGCCCTTGATCTCCCTCGAGGCGACGGCGTCCACATTCCCTCCTTCGAGCATCGTGGCCTTGCGTCCTCCCCGTTCCTATTCGCCCTCATTGACCCTCGCGTTCAGGTTCTTGCGCGTCTTCGGCTGGTGAGCGCAGTTCGCGATGACCACCGCCGAACCCGCGACTGCCTTCGCCGACTCGCCCGCGTCTGCCAGGGCGGGCGGCGCGGCCCCGTCCTTGGAACAAAGGGGGGGCGAACGTGGTGCCCCTCCTTTTCCTCCTTGCAGTAGCGAGCGCGGATTTCTGCCGAACGCGGTGAAATGGCGCCGCGCGGGCTCGCCCCTTTTCGGCGCTCTGCGCCAGCCCCCCAAGGGCGGCCGTCGCGCGGCGCCCAGCCACTTCGCGCGGGACAGAATCAAGATGCCGGCGGCAAGCGGCGAACGCCCCTGAGACATCCAAGGGGCATCGACGAGATATGGCAGGACATGATCGCGCTGACTTTCTGGTCCCACGAATAATCGCAAGCTATTGCGCGCTGCGATTAGGAAGATGCACGAGAGCCTTTCTCATGGGCCCCACCCCACAAGGAATCATGGTTTCGGCACCTGCAACATGGAGGGGCAAGCCAAGCAGCGCGACTTGTCAGATGCACGACGCGCGAAGAGCAGGCTCGCACAGCAGCGCGACCAACTGCAGCCCAGGGGGGGCGCGATTGGAGCTCCCATGTCGTGATCGATCTCCTCCGAGACGGCCCCGAGAACGCTCCGAGGCCCCCGAGGGCGCGTCGCGAGGGCCCCGGGGGGCGCCCCGGCGTCGGCGCGCAAAAAGGCCCCCAAGAACCCTTAGGACCTAGGCCCCCGAGAGGCCCCCCGAGGCACGCGAGGCGCTCCAGGAGGCCCCCGGGGCCGCCTGGAGGCCTCCGAGACGTTCCAAAGGGCCCCCAGAAATATGCCAACACATCCGAGGAGACTATGAGAGGCGGCGCGCTTGGGCATCGTTCCCGGATGGGCTGGCGGGGGAGCGCGAGGCGCCATGAATTTCAATTGCAATCGAATCGCTCTGGGGCGTCGCCGCAACCCCGCGCCGGCAGACACGCCGCGAACCCGGGGGACCAACGGGGGCCGCGCGGGCGGCAGAGACCGAAGGCACCCGAGAAACATTTAAACATTCCGGGCGGCCAGGGGGCCCCGGCCACTCGCGGCGACCGCGTTGCCGCGCAGAGCACAGGAACAGCGGCGTGCGATCGCGTGGGGGCTGCTCGCGCAACACAACCATGCGCCGCCGTGCCTGGTTAGGGGCACCCCGGGCCTGGGAATGGCGCGCGCGCTCGCCTGGCCGAGGCCGAGGAGGTCGATCCCCCGCACTTCCTCACCGAGAACCCTCGCTGACGGAAGATCGGCCGGCGCCTGCGCGGCGGCAGGCGCGCCGCGCTAAGCGGCGGGCGTGTTCTCGCCAAGCTCGCGAGGCGCGGGCCCTTGATCTTCCTCGAGGCGACGGGCGACGGCGTCCACGTTCCCTCCTTCGAGCATCGTAACCTTGCAGTCCTCCCCTTTCCCACTCACGCTATTGACCTTCGCGTTCAGGTTCTTGCGCGTCTTTGTCTGGTGAGTGCAGTTCGCGATGACCGCCGCCGAACCCGCGACTACCTTCGCCGACTCGCCCGCGGACGTCAGGGCGGGCGGCGCGGCCCCGACCTTGGAACAAAGGGGAGGCGCACGTGGTGTCCTTCCTTCACCTCCTTGCAGTAGCGAGCGCGGATTTCTGCCGGACGCGGTGAAATGGCGCCGGCTCGCCCCCTCGACGCTCTGCGCCAGCCCCCCATGGGTGGCCGTCGCGCGGCGCCCAACCATTTCGCATGGGGCAGAATCAAGATGCCGGCGGCAGGCGGCTAACGTCCCTGAGACATCCATGATATATGAATGAGACATGGAAGGGCATTCCAGCGCTGACTTTCGGGTCCCACGCATGATCTCAAGATACTGCGTGTGCACGAGAGCCTTTCTCATGGACCCCACAAGGAGCCATTGGTTCGGCACCTGCAGCATGGAGGAGCCGACAAGCAGATCAAAGCGCGACTTTTCAGATGCACGGCATGCCAAGGGCAGGCTCGCACAGCAGCACGAACAAATGCAGCGCGACCAAAGGTCAAGGACCTCAGCGAAGCCACCAGTGTATATTCCATGGGCATACTGGACCTCGACTAGAAAGTATACGTGGCGTTCATGATTAAGGGCGCCACATCGGATTTTACAGTGGTGATATACGTGCGCCCTCGGTCGAGACCGACGGCTGAGTTGGCGAAGAAGGCCTTCGATCTCGGACGGTTCGCCTGGGCTGTGCCACCGACGGCAGTCGAGCAGAACTGAAGCTCCACCTTCATGGGCGAGTTCGACGTGCCGCGCAACGACCTGGGGCTACCCATCAAGAGTGCAGCCCCCGAGGCCCGCTGGCGCATGTGGGTAAGGCCGAGCGGAAAGTGTGATACTTGGAGGAGATGGCGACGAGTACTCCCGACGCTGGAGGAGTTCGTCATCAGGGCTCCGTTGCAGCAGCGGCACGTGGCACGGCGAATGCTTGCAACAAGCTGGCGGGCACATCAGGCCTTTCGCCGCAGCGCCGGCAGGTTGCGGCAGTGTACATCAACACCCTGGCAGGGCGTTGCCGCCAGTTGCGCGGTGGGATGTCATGTCTGGCATTTAACCATACGTAGAATTGGTGGGGGGGTCCATGGGGTGCCTTATATCCCCCCATAAAATGCACGAGGGGGATCGAGGAAAATCCCCCGGGGGAAGCCGTCCCCCCCGATTCAAAACTGACAAAAACGGAAGGGGGGGCGGGGGAAACCATTCTGCATTAATTGCGTTCCGCTGCCGCCGAAGTTGTGATACCCAGGTTGCTGTAAAAAAACAAAGACACGGTAAGTTTCGGGAGATCATTTTTCCAACCATTTTCGTGCAGAAACCAACGTGGATGGGGTGCCACCCAGCAAACCCAGTCAATTTTTCGGGGGGGATGGTCCACAGACCCCACCCCACCCCACCCAACGCACGCATACAATTCGCAGAAACGGGAAGGTGCGAATGAACATGTTATTTCTCCCGTCCCGAGGCCGCCCCGTCAGGAACTCAAAAGGGTACCAGCCAGTAGCCCAATTTGAAATCCGTTTGGGAGGTGTCCAACGGACCGCCCGCGGCCCCCCCCCATAAGAAATTGAGGGCGGGATGGCTGGTTCTAGAAGGGCGGGCAAACCCCTACCTCCTTCGACACCCCCGCCCCCTGCAGGGGGTCCGCGGGACCCCCCCCCAAGACGTCCCCCTTTTATGATTATGTGTTTGAGTTGTTTCAGCGGATTTTCGCGAGAGATGAAAGGCGGGGTGTGCGGGAGAAGGGAGGAACGATGGGAGGAGTTGGCAAGATGTGGCAAAGGCAACCAGAGAGGACGGAGGAGTCTAGGTTCGATGTCCGTCGTTTTGTTGCGGCACGCTGGCCAATCGCAAGGCACCGACCGGTGAGACACGGGACAGTTGGGGGAGCTGTGATCCTGACCATGACCGTGCTTTTCGACACGATGGTTTCCCCCAGCGGGGTAAGGAAAGCCGTTCTCCCAGTCATGGCTGGTCGGCTTCTCTGAAGGGGACCTGGGACACGCAAATACATAGACACAAGTAACAGGACTCCCCATATTTTCAATGTTTTCGTGGTTTTTGTCTTCCCCCCCACTTCCGATTTTTTTTAATATTTTCTGGGGAATCGACGATTAATTGCGTCTGTGTGTTATTTTCCCTCCCGATTCTCCCCCTGCACGCTGGAGGCGCGTGCGAGCCGCCAGCCTGGACGCCCCTGGAGCGCGCAGGGGGCGCGGCACGGCAGGCCACCGCCCCGGGGGCTGCCGAGCGCCCCAGCGGTGGGCTCCCGCTCCGGCCGCCCCCGTCGCCAGATTCCAGCGTGGACCTGATGGGCGCTACGGTCGACAGCCAGGCAGCAGCCCGGCGGTGGCGGGAGGAGGGAGATGGGGTTAGGCGATTGCAAACACGGGTGGAGGGGGCGTGGGTTGGTGACGGGTCCCGTTTCCATGGGAAATCGCGGGCTTCCGCCGCCGAGCGAGGCGGCGCTGGGCGCATTCTGGGGAGAGCTGCTCCCCCGATCCATGGATTTGGCGACCGTGCGCCAAATCCATGGATCGCTAATCCGTGGATCGCTAATTCGGCCCGGCGGTAGCCAGAGCGTCAGGTCTTGCAGGACCCTGCAGAGCCAGGGTCGCATTGACCCAGGTTTGGGTGCAGGATCCTGCAGGATTTTGCAGGATCCTTCGCATTGACCCAGGTTTGGGTGCAGGATCTTGCAGGATTCTGCAAGGCCTGACTGACCCGGGACTGGATTGACCCGGGTCAGCAGATCCCCGAAAGATTGGGTTGTTTCTGGCGTAGGACTTCAGACGTCCTCGTTTCTGTCCGCTGCCAGCGTTTTTTGTCGATCTGCCTCCTCTCAAGGTTCTCCTGGCAGAGGCTCCAGAGGAATTCGGGCGCACGATGCTGCCAGTTTGCCGACCCGTGAAGAGCGGACTTCGTGAGAACCTCAGGCATTTGTTCTCGAAGATTGCGCGAGATCTGGCCATGAGCTGTGATAATCTAGATGCTTATGATGTGGAGTTGATCGTTGCGGTTCTCGTGGTAATAAGTGGTGCAGTTTTTCTTGTCGTAGCTACATATTGTCTTACCACTTGCTTCCAGGGATTGGTATCACGATGACGCTCGCAAGCGAAGTTTCTATTGTCTTTGCCCCTGTGGTGCATGATGTGCATTTTTCCAGTTATCCCAAGCTCGTAGAATGACTCGGGGAGCTCCACGAGGCTCCCCAGCGGAAACTTGCTAGATGTTTGTTCGCCTGCCTCCAGGTTGAGTTCCAGGGCCGGCTTCTGGCCCCGACCCTGAAGAAGCTGTCCGCGATGAAAAACTACAGTCGACCCGCATAGTAAGGATAGGCATCCCTCCCAAGGGGTACCCTTGCATCCTTGCCTCCTGGGTCCATTCTTGGACACTTTCGTTGGCCGCGCCCCGCTCGAAAAGCTTCGAAATGGGCGCCCAAGGCCCTGGCATCCTTATCGCGCATCCTTCTTACACTGCTTGACTGTAGCCCCAGTGGGGGGCCGTCGGAGGCTCTCGCGGGGGCGTTCCCGCTCTCTTCTTGCTGCCCTGTGGATGAGACCTCCAGTCCACGGGCGCCTTGGGACTCCTGGAGTTAGCCGAGGAGTTTCGAAGACCTCTGGAGACCTTGATGCGGGGAGCGCGCATGGCCCCCCTCCCTAGCATACCTGCTGCGTAACCCCGTGCCCCGGATAGTACAGGGCCCCCCTTTTTTTATGGCATGAGAGTTGACTATCCCAGGCCAAGACAGAGTTGGTCGGTGGAAAAGGGCGGCGAGGCCGAACCTCATCATTATCTCCCTGGACAGTACGAATGGAAGATGCGGTCCTCTTACGTTGAGAAGCGCAATAGACATCCCATAATGTCGACTGTGTCTCCTCCTCTTCCTCCTGTTCCTGCTACTACTAGAATTACTACTACTAGTAGCACTGATCAGATTATTTCTGCCGCCCTACTACTACTACTACTAGTACTAGTACTACTACTACTACTACTACTACTACTACTACTACTACTACTACTACTACTACTACTACTACTACTACTACTACTACTACTACTACTACTACTACTACTACTACTACTACTACTACTACTACTAGCTGCTGCTGCTGCTGCTGCTGCTGCAGCTGCTGCATCTGCTGCTGCTGCTGCTGCTGCTGCTACTACTACTACTACTACTACTATACTACTATATTACTATACTACTATACAGCTATGCTACTGTACTACTACACTACTACTACTGCTACTACTACTACTACTACTACTACTACTACTACTACTACTACGACTACTACTACTACTACTACTACGACTACTACTACTACTACTTCTACTACTTTTACTACCACTACCACTACCTACTACTACTACTACTACTACTACTACTACTACTACTACTACTACTACTACTACGACTGGTACGATTACTACTACAACGGTGCCTACTACTACTATTACTACTACTACTACTACTACTACTACTACTAGTACTACTACTACTACTACTACTACTACTACTACGAACATTTAATATTGCGGCGACGATTTCCATTACTACTACTACGACTACTACTACTACTACTACTACTACTACTACTACTACTAGTACTACTACCCGTACTGCTACTACTACTACTACTACTACTACTACTTCTACTTCTACTGCTACGACTGTTGTTACTACAACTACTACTACTACTACTACCACTACTACGACTACTACTACTAGTACTACTACTACTGCTACTACTACTACTACTACTACTACTACTACTACTAATGCTACTACTACTACTACTACCATTACTACTACTACCATTACTATTACTACTACTGCTACTACTACTTGCGGCGGTGCCCACGGGTCACCTAAGGACGAGAATTGGGCCAAATTTGTTCCTTAGGTGACCCCCTCCCCGCGGCCGCCGCGGCCCGCGCCCGGCGCCTCCGGGAGCCGCGGGGAGGGGGGTCACCTACGGACAGGAATTGGGCCAAACTTGTTCTTCAAGTGACCCCCCCAGCGAGGGCCCATGTCCCGCGAGTGTTTTTCAACCGCACCTTCCAAGCGCACCCCTCGGTTTATATCGAAATCACGGCGCCCGCTGGCTCGGGGGCGCCCTCGGCGTCGCGAAGAGCTCGGGGGCGCGGGGCGCGCCGACTCGCTCCGCCCTGGCGAGCACGAATACTAATACTACTACGACGACTACTACTACTACTACTACTACTACTACTACTACTACTCTGACGATTACCACGGCTCGTAGTATTACGACTACTACTACGACTGCGGTTATTCTTACTACTACTATTACTACTACTACTACTGCTACTACTACTACTACTACGACGACGACGACGACGAGGACTACTACTACTACTACTACTACTACTACTACTACTACTACTACTACTACTACTACTACTACTACTACTACTTACTACTTACTACTTACTACGTACTACTTACTACTTACTACTTACTACTTACTACTACTACTACTACTACTACTACTACTACTACTACTACTATGGCTACGACTTCTACGACCATATACTAGTACAACTACTATTGCTAGGGCGACTACCACTAGTACCGCTACTAGTAGCACTAGTAGTACGAGTACTTCTACGGCTATCACGACTTCGAGTAATACTACGACTACTATCACGGTTACCACGACGACTACTTCGATAATTACGATTACAATTGCAATTCCCATTGTTTTCGTTATTCGTAGTATTACAACGATCATCATTTTTATTGCGACTACGATTACGACTGCTGGCACTACGATTGCTTCTCTTGTCAGTACTACTGCTACTATTATTATTAGTCTTACTAATACTGCAATTACAAGTACTCCTACTACTCGGATCGCCTCTACTACTACTATTCCTTTTATTGTTAGTTCTTGCTGATTCCTACTACTACCCCAACCCCTACCCCGACTACGGGTACCAGTTTCACTACCACTTGTACTACGACTACTACTATTACACCGACTACGATCATTTTATTTGCGACTGCTACTAGTATTACGAATACGATTAGTAGTATTACGACTACTACCACGTTGGCTACACTTATTACGAGGACGATCGCTACTACAATGACGACGACTACTACTACTAATTCGGCAGACGCATCTACGAACACTAGTACTACTTTTCCTACTGCTACGACTACATGTACATATGACCCCTACTACTACCACTACTCTTATTATTACGACTACTACGACGACTACTAGAATCGTTCTTGCTACTACTAGGACCGTGTTATTTACAACGGCTGCGATCACGATTGATACCACGACTACTGCTACTGTCAGCATTACTACTACTACTACTACTACTACTACTACTACTACTACTACTATTACTACTACTACTACTACTCCTGCTACCACTACTACTTCTACTACTACTACTACTACTACTACTACTACTACTACTACTACCACCAGAACTGCGACTACAACGACTACTACTACGACTACCACTACTACTACTACTACTTCTACTACTACTACTACTACTACTACTACTACTACTACTACTACGACGACTATTACTAGTGCAGCGTGGCACCGATTATTATTCCTAAGTCTACCACTATTCCGGCGACTACGACTACTAGTACTCGTGCGACTACTATTACTATTATTGCTCGTACTAATAGTAAACCTGTCACGGCTGCTATCCGTACTACTACCCTCACTACTAGTACGACTACTTCGACTATTACGACGACTACTACTACTACTAGGACTATTACCCTCCTATTGGTATAACTATTACCACTACTACTACTACTACTTCTGCTACTACTGCTACGCTCTAGTACTACCGATGTTTCGACGACCCGAAATCCTTCACATCAGTAATTTTGGGTCTCGGAGCCCACAGGGCGGTTTTTCATGTTTTCCATTCGACGTTCCATGAAGCCCGATGTCATCCCGAGGCGCGCGTCGAACGTTTTCGATGGCGCGTCGCGTTATGCGACGTCACGTGCGTTGTGGTCGTCGAAGGCTTGCGTGCTTATTGCGGATCGGTTGATGTGGGCTGGGGTTTCTCAGGATTGTACATTTGCTTTGCGCTGGGGCGGTTTCGCCCCCCATCCCTGGCTGATCCACCCCACGGGTAACGTCGCAGGAAGAATTCGAACATTTGGTTCGTAGTGCCAGCGATGCTGTCGCGGACATTGACCGCGCCACGGGGGGGGGTCGTCCAGAAATTTCCTACCATATTGCAATGTTGGTTCTTCGTTTTGAAGATACGCCGCCCCGCGTCATTCCTTCTGGCCCCCTCCCTCGTCCTCCCTCTTCG